ATAGAGCGCCATCTATGAAACAACAGGAGAAATTGTCAAATGTCACATTTTTACATTTTATAAACACAATTATAAAGGTTATAAATCGAAATGTATATTGAAAATTGACAGTTTTTTACAGTGAAAGTAAAGAAAATGTTTTATGAGCACTTTACAGTAGAGTCCGTGCCCGAGTCCGTGCCCCAATTTAAGTTATAGTTTACTGCCGGCGAAATTAAAAGGTCAGTACAATGTTCATATAAACTTATCAAATATTGGCGTTGAGAAACTATTTAATACTTTTGTATTGAGATAATAACATAATTTTCACATTTAGTATTATTTTACAAGAAAGGCAATTTATTTTAACGATTGTATGACATTTGACAACTGTCAACTAACTTAAAACTAACTTCAGCCCGTGACTAAAGCGCCGTAAAGCCACAACTTGTCAATGTGTATTTAAAAGGTCACTTAGTGTCATGGAAACATGTACGATAATGGGCGTTTTAAAGGTGTAAGTAGAAAAATATATTTATATTTATTTATAAAATATTTACCATAATAGGTTAAAATACAATTTAAAAAAATCATTTAAAGAATATTTTAAAAATAAGAATTAAAAAGTGGACCAAAACTAACACAAGTAAAAATAAAAACAAAAAAGAAATCTTTTAAAAAACGTTAAAATAAATAAATATATTGAAAATAATAAAATAGTAAAGTATGTATCAAGTTGGCGAGCGAGTGTTTAATTAAATAAGTGTCTAGAAAAGTTTATAAACGAGTTGTATACCTAATATAGGGTAGGAGTACCGGTTGCGGCCACATTAAGGATTTTTTTTTATTCCAAGTTGTATATTTTTAATGATTCTTGTTTCATTTGGGCCAAATGTAATTTGGAATGTTGTTATTTATCTAAAGATTAATTTATTTTCGAAAAAATATAGAAAAAACAATATTTAAAACCACTTTTAAACAATAAAGGCTAGCAAACCCATTTTTGCCACTTCCGGCCACAGAAGTACCAGTAGGGGCCAGCAATTGTACCAGTTGAGGCCATAAGTGGTTTTAAGGGGAAAAAGAATAAGTTTGCCCAAAAATATTAAAACATTTATTAAAAAAACTTATGACAAATTAAATTATATTACCTACCTATTTAAAACAAGAATTAACTAAAATAGTACAGGTACAGGTAAATTTTAACCATATGTAAAAACGTTTTTTTTTATTCAATTAACTCAAGAATTTCAGGAACCGAAAAAACACCCCTAGAATTAATTTTCTGGGGAGCACTAATAATTTTAACAATTTCGTCCTTTTTATAGATTATTTCATCTATTTTTTCGGGCCATTTCCAGTGGTTCAGTGTTTTTGTCATTGTACTTATAAAATATTCATCATCACTAACTTTTGTAATTACGCCAGGGTAAAAGTTGTCTTCATAATTAACAATAACATGTGTATTTTCTTCCAATTTTTTCTGATCTTTAAACGTCAGTTGAACTTTATCCTTTTTTTGTTCTTCTTGTGTTTCAGGTTTTTCGTTTATTAGTTTTTCTTGAACATTGCTTATAATTGGTGATGTTGAGCTATGGTTTGTTTCTGATTCTTTGTAGATTTTGTCTTGTTCTTCAATATTTTTTATTTCTTTGGATTCTGTATGGTGTTTTTTCTTTTTGTTTTGCTGTTGTTCTATCCGCTTTTGCTTGTTTTCATCTCTTTTTTTCTTATTTTCTTCTTTCTTCTTAAGTGCATCAAGTTTAATAAGTTCTTTTTTTTCTTCCATTTCAATCCAACTCGCGCTGGTTAAAACACTTGAGGTGTAGGTCCTTTTTTTGGCTACTGGGTTAATCTTTTGTTCAGGTATTACAAGTATATTGCTTAAAATATTAATTTTTTGTGTATTTAAATCCATATTTTCTTTATTCCTCTCTTCATTAATTTTGTGTTCACAACCCAAGTTTTGTTCATCAGTCTTATTTGTTGAAATTTTAGATTCTATATTATCACAATTGCTTTCATTTGTAGCTTTAATCACAATATTCTTTTTCAAATCGATGTTAATATCTATATCAGTTTGCTTTGGTTTTTCTATTTCGCTGGTATCGTTATCACTTATTATTGGTTTGGTTTTATTTTCTGGATTGTTGGATGCTTGGTCTTGAGTTTTAACATCAATTGCGTTATTTTTGTCGTTAGCTTCATCAATCTGCTCTATTAAAATTTTTGTCTGATTACTAAACAAATCTGATATTTCCAAATTTTTATCGATTTCGTTAATGAGGTTCTGGTCATCAAACAATTTTATCTCCTCTTTGTCAATGGTTTTACAGATCCAAGAAAGATCATCTGTATCTGTCGTCGATGAATTTTCAGCCGTAACTTGGTAAAATTCAGGAAAAGGAAATTCCAATATGTCTTCTTGAAAATTAGGTGAATTGTCGAAAACTTCTTTATCTTCATTTAAGTCTATATCGCACTTTATGCTTTCCCAGACATCAAATAACATTTGAGCTTCTCTTTTATCAGTTCTTTTCTGTTGCTGATGCTTTTCTATAAACTCAGATAACACTTCTGCCTCTATTTTTTTTTCAATATAAGATAAGCATTCTTTCCTAAAGTTGAGGTAATCTATGTTAACAATTTCTGGATTTAAAGTTTGGTTTTCGTTGGGTTGAATTGGAATTGTCGAACTTTTTTTGACACACTTGCTGTAGTCAACATTATTTGGTTCATATGGGTAAAGCCCACATTTTCGAAATCCATTAATTATGGTTGTTTTGAATGATATTGTTGTTAATATACTATTTAAAAGATTTGGTACATCTTGTTTGCGGATTTCCCTTCCATTATGTTCCATTCTCCAGGTTCGTAATTCCTTTTTCCAATGACATTTAAGTGGGAAGAAGACTGCTACATCTAGTGGCTGTAAAATATGGGTGGTATTTGGATATAAGCACACTACAATTATGCCGTTATCCCTGCAAAATTTGCTTAACTGGAGACTTAAATGTGAGGAATGTCCATCCAAAAACACTATTACTGGTAAAGTATACTTTTTTTCAATTAAAAACGGATGAAAAACGTTAACCATGTAATCGTAAAATGTCTCTGCAGTCATCCAACCATTTTTGGATTTACCAATCCCCCAATGAAGTGGTGCCGACTTAAAGTATGTTGCTGGAATTCTCTCAAATTTATATAAAGTTAACGGGGGAGCATAATCGCCCACCGCATTAACAGAAATCAAAGTAGTGACATTTTCTTTGTCACTATTCATAGACGTAGCATACACGTGTTTGCCCTTCTCAGCTATAACGCAGCCTCCACTTGGGTTAAGGTAGAAAGCTGTCTCATCCATATTCCATAAACGTTTTGGATCCTCAAGCACTGTTGCGTGGTTCCCTAGATCATCCAAGGTATTTTGGAACCATTTTCTAATTTTTTCAGCTGTAACAGCGGCGCGAGCCTTGCTAATGTATTCCGATTGCTTAACTGAGAGTTCTGGATGACGACTCATAAACGACTCGAACCATTTCCGCCCAGGACGATTGTTGGTAAAAGGAGTTTTTTGTTTGGTTTCATTGGCGATCTTTTGTACAGAATAACAAAGACCATCTTTGTTTACCGGAAAACCTTTTGCACAAGACGCTTTCATCCAATCACACAACAACTTTTCAACATCATCTCCCAAAACGCAATTTGGGCCGACTTTTCCAAAACTTTCTGGCCGGGCACCAGATGCTTTATACCTAAGAGTGCTTCTTGGGATCTTAAAGGTTTTGGAGGCTGTTAAAACTGGCATCCCATTCTTAATGGCTTCCAATGCATTTTTGAGCTGTTCGGCATTGTAATTAAACAATGTTGGGTTAAAGCGAGTTTTCTTATGAATTTTCTTAGTCTTTGCCATTAGGTTCTAAAATAAAAAGGTTTTAAAAAAATAGGTATTTTTTACCTTAACCCAAATTAAAAAAATTGTGGCCGAATAACATACAGGTAAGTACCTAATTCGGCCACTATGGCCGCAACTCGAAAACCATACTCCTATTGAGGCCACTAGGATGGCCGTAACCGGATATTTTGTATATTTCTATGCTCCGGTTCCGGCCACCCTAATTAAATAAATACAATGTAATTTTATACAAGCACTTTAAACAAAAATATAAATCTTGGAGTATCAATAACCTGTAACTAAATGTTTGCTACTACTATTTTAGTGACCCAAAAAGTTATTAATATATGAACTTACCCTTCTTTCTTAGCGAAAACTTTAAGAAATTTTACCAAACAACACACAGCTGATTTCACGTATCCGCCATTAAAACTTCAGTGGTGCTATCTACCGATACTTTTTATAAGTAGGGGCAAAAACTATTTGATTTCACGCGGTAAATTTAAATTTTGGAATGCAATTATATCCCTATTTAATAAATCGAATACAAATTTCAAGGGGCCGGAACTGGTGTGATGGCCGCTAATGGTACTCCTACCCTATATATTACTAATTATATTATTAATTTTATAAGGTAAAAAAAATAATTTATAAAAATGCTACAAAGGTTTAAACCATAGTTCTAATAAAAACAAAGTATTATCCATTCTTTATTTCGCAGAAAAAGATAAAATTGGAGAATTACCTATATCAAGAAAAATGGTTGTCTTAAGCTTTACAATGCCATGGCAGGTAAGTATAACATCAGAAGGTATTATAATGATACTTTTTTCTATTAGACTGACATCCTTCCTTCTCAAATTTAATAAGGATCAGGACACGTCATAAAACAAACTTACTAATCTGTAAAAAGAAAAAAGTCGACTCTAATGATCCCAAAAGATGGTCCATCAAGGTAGAAAAATGAGAAAGTAGGAAAAAGAAATTGAAATAAATTTTATTATATTAAAAAATTTCCTTTTCAATATTAAACTTTAATAATAAAAGTCATTATGATTTTGGCTCTAATTTTGTTTATATGTACACTTTTATGACAATTTATTTGTTTTTATTTTAAACCACTTACATTCCTATTTTCTTTAATTATTTCCTTTTTGATTGTTGCATATCCTAAGGGTTTAACTATTTACAATATAAACACTCACAATAGGTAAAAAATAAGTCACATTTTTCTCAAATCACAATACTTAACACGTTTACTTTTACCCACCAAGGTAAACTGACTAAAATACTCAGTAGTGACACTACTGTAGTGTGCAAGTCCAAGAACTTTCTCTCTCCACAAACTAAGTCGAAGTCATTAGAACTGGGTAAATAAACCAAACAAATTAAAGTAAATTACTTTTCTATGGTTTATTAACTTCCTAAGTTTACCTAAACAATATTTTTCACGGGAATTTTTATTGTATATGTTATTAAAAAGATGCAACCTGCATATAAAGTATTGGGTGGGCATATCCGCAAGAATTTTATGAAGGTCATCGACTTACCTCACCGCTTTTAAAGAATTATTCACCTTCTTTAAATAAAACATAATGATTAAGTAAGTATTAACGTTTTTTTTTCTTCTATATTTTAAATAATCCAAATTTCTTTATTTAACATTGCCTCGCTACGAGCTTTTTGCACATTTCCCTTTTGAAGCGGATTTATGTTTCGACATAGGTAACGCCATCTGTTTGTTGGAGGCTGAACTCGTAAAAAGTAGGCGCTGGAAATAAAAGTATTGTACGGTATCTTTATTGTGTGGTGCTGTAGTGGAATAGAGTTTTTGGTTTATGACGATTTCCATAGATGGCGTGGGTGTTTGTGCGGTGTTTTAACATGGGCGTAACATGATTTTGGCCTATTTAACTTTATAAAATTCAAAAAATATTATTAATATTATAATATTCGGTTTTATAACAAATTAAAGTTCTTTAAATTTACAGTATAATTTTTATTTCTAGAAATATGATTAGCACAGGAAAAAATTACAATTTAATTTTATCGTTATTTAATTAATTATTATATAAACAAATAAAAATTGGCATAGCGTGGGTTAAAATGAAATCTTTATACGTTGATACCACCTTTAATAGTTTAAAAAAAGATAGTGTCCTGAAAATGGTACACTAAGAATTAAAAAAATACAAGTAGTTTTTAAGTTAATTTAAAATTTTAAAAATTATTTTTATTCTCTTATGACGTTTACAAAATATTAAGTTTTAATTTTTTGACCCTAACTGTCATAAAATACATCTGACAACCATGTCAACTTTGCTGAGTATTATAAACTTATAAGTTATAACTGTATATTTTTACGGGTTTCGTTAAAAATGGTATTGGAAAATAATGTATAAAATCAGTCTGAAACTACTTCAAGTATAGTCACTAAAAACAACCGTCCTTTTAATAAATAACGATTTTTGCTACCAATTATTTTTTCCTTTAAAGTGACTTTAAAAATCCATAAATTTTCTCGGTAGCGTGACGTCACGATGTAATAATATAAATGGTATATTGGTATGTTTAACATGATTGTCGAGATTATTACAACAAAGTATACTTTATTCGTAAATCTTTACGCACATATTATAACTATAGGTAAATGCAAAATTAAAAATTTAGAACTTAACCAAATTCTTTGACGGTTATAATCTTTTTACTTGTTAACAGCGTATTTTAGTATAAAGTTCATAAAATTATTCTTAAAATTTAAATTTGCACCTCTTGTGCAATACTATACCTCGATTTTTATAACGATTTAAATACTTTAAAAAATATTGAACATAACCTAGAAACAGATGTTTGATTCATTCCTAATTCTTGACACATCTGTTAAAACATCGTGACGTCACGCGCCATTTTCAAGGTCGTCAAAGTGTTTTGAATTTTACGTTTTTTCAAAACGCTGCTGCGTTCTTAAAAATTGTTGGAGAAACAGAAAAAAACTAAGTATAAACTCGTATTCCTCTCGTTTTGAAGCGGTATATTTGAATATTTTGATATTACACTATTTATTTAAAAATCCCAAAAATTTTATTTTTAAAAGTATAAACCTTTTTTTAATATACATAATTATTATAGGAAATGGATTCAAATAATAAAATAATACTTAATTAAAATATGAAAATAAATAAATTGTTTGCTTTCTGATTTACTATATAGTAAATCATGGACTACGAACATATTTATTAAGTAATTTTTACCTAATTAGACAATCCTTCTATCTATCATGGTTTTCTTCTTTTTGTTGTTTGCTCTTCTCTTTAGACTTTCGCTGCATTCACAATAATGCATGTTTTCTGTTGCTTTACTTTTTGTTTCCATACCTTCTTTAATAATAAATCTTTTAATAATTTTTTCTTTGTGGTTAAATTCATTCGTTTTAACAACTTATTTTTAGATTTTAAGTAACACTGCATATATAACTGTCACTGCCACTGTCAAAAGCGAAAAGCGTTACCATAGTTACCAATTATTAACAACTCGCAATTTTGTCGCGTTAAAATCCATTTTTTTCGTTTTTTAATTCACATTCTTGTGTTTCAATATATGTATACAGGGTGCAAGTATCCTATTATGTATAGGAGGTATCTTTTTATTTGATTAAATTAGATACAAGTAGCGTTGTTACAAGCTTATTAACATGAAATTTATAAATTGAAAAAAAGTCATCGGTCCTCAAAATATTTGAAAAAAACCTAAAAATTTTCAAAATCAAAAAAAATTATACACATAGAATACTTGGTGCACCCTGTATAGTACCTTTTGTATATTAATTTTAAAAAATAAAAAATATTTAAAGGATTATTTAGAAAATTTCTAAAAATACATACAACCGACTGTTATACTTGGTAATTGAAATTAACCATCATTTGAATTAAGGAAAGACAGCCTGGTAAAAAAACTAAGAATATTAGTTATAACTTATAACTAATATATTACTTCAGATTTAGCTTATCTTACAAAAAATTACATTTCATTGGTTTGGGTTTTAAAGTGTCGAAAAAAAAACAGGAAAAATTGGGTAAAAAACTGTTCCCAGGCCTTTGAAAAAATTGGCTTTTTTGGGACAAGTTGAATTTTTTTCGGGAAATATTCACATTTAAAAAAAAAGTGGCAATCAACAATTTAACATTATTTTAATTTAAAAAAAATATCCTTACAAAAAAAATTAAACCAAACAACAAATTAAATTGATTTAAGAAAATAAAAGCAAAAAGGAGTCGATTAAAAATATCCAATTACAAAATAATGAATGATTTATAAAGGTAAATTACAAAATTATAATTTTATAAATCAAATTCTCAAATTAAACGAAAGTTGTGTTAATACAGCACCGAATTATTTTTTTTTGCGACTCGGTAGAATATTCTTACTGAATTAAAATAAAAGGAATAATTAATAATAAATTATTATTATTAATAATCATAATATTACGATTATATTCAGCGTCTAAAATTTACTTTTTTCTCGATATCAGTGCAGCATTTTAATTAAAAGCGTATACACTCTAAAGAGCTTTGAGGCAATAGGCAAGTTTTATTTATGTTATTTTTATAAAAATAACATAAATAAATAGGTATACCTATTTTAATAACCCTTAAGTTTCAACACTTTTAAGTATTATGAGGGACGTAATTTTTACGAAAGAAAGTTACGTTTTAAGTTTATTTCACCTAAAGGAAAATTTAACGGTAATTTTAACGTCGGAATTTTTACTTAATGGTAAATGGTACTCCTAAGTCATAATTTTACGATATTAAGATCACTTTATAACCGTAAATAATTCCTATTTACCTGGTATTTTTTAGGGTTATTAGTGGTAATAAATACTATTAATATTGACTAAACAAGGAAAAATAAGCTTAAAGTGAAAAATAAAATTTTTTTCAGGTCGCCATAATGAGTTTTTTAATCTAAACATTTATATAATATTTTTTCATAAATATTTTTCTAAAATATAATAAAGAAAGTTTTACTTATTAAAAAATAATTAAAACTAAATAACTTTTAAAAGATTTAATAAAATTTTGTAGGTTTTAGGTTTTGTTGAATTTTTACCCAAGCAATATTTTTTTTAGAGGGCATATAATTTTTAAGATGAATTGTGCCTATTTTTTGTTTGTTTGAGTTTTAATGCAAAATATTATTAGTTTTGACAATTTAAGTTATATTTTTTAATTTTACTCTGTGGGGTGGCCTTTATTACTTTGTAAGTACCATTTTGTAAAATATAAATTAAAAGAACAAAGAAATTACGAATGTCAATGTTTTAGAAAGAGAGAGCAAACAGTCATGAAAAAAGGAATATTAACTAAAGAACGAAAATTTTAAAGAGTCTAAGTGCAGCAAAGGCGTACGTTTTAAAATTCGAAATAATTTTGCCTTATAAATTTGTTTGGTTTTCTTTGTATAATAAGAAATTTTGAGAATCGATTATTGTTTATTTTAAAATTTTGTGTTTTACTTAACTGGTAACTAGGAACATTTTTTTGTCAATTACCGCTTTTGAATTTCCACTCTAATGTTTTAGAAAGAGAGAGCAAACAGTTAGTAATTATAGCGTTATTTTTACGTAATTTTGTGGTATTTATATTGTTTTTATTACGGTATTCTCTTAGTAGATCAAAATGGTTATTATGTAGGTAAAATAACGAAATAAACCATTCCAAAATTTGGTAATTTTTCGTATCTATACCGTTATAAAACCGTTTTGATTAACCGTAAAAAATACTTTAAAGTTGACTTTGCATTTTTTGTATTACCCTTTGAATAAAATGAAAAAAATGCAAGTCAATTTTTCTGAAAATATCCCAATTTATCCGTTTTTTTTTGGAAATTTTTAAACCCTAGTTTATAACAAATATTGGAATATTAACTAAAGAACGAAAATTTAGACTTACGTTTTAAAATTCGAAATAATTTTGCCTTATAAATTTGTTTGGTTTTCTTTGTATAATAAGAAACTTTGAGAATCGATTTTTGTTTATTTTAAAATTTTGTGTTTTACTTAACTGGTAACTAGGAACATTTTTTTGGCAATTACCCCTTTTGAATGTCCAAATTTAAACAACAAAATATTGGAAAAAACATTTTTTTGAAACAAATTTTTATATTTTAAATTACATAAAATTTTCTTGAATTAATTAATATTTTAGTAATTTTTATATATTTTCATGTTTACTTGATTTGATTTAAAAAAAAAAAGAAATTTATCTTGTAAATGATGTTTCAAAAGTAATCAGCAAATAAAAGACCAAAAGTGTTTCAGCCATTTGGAAACACCCTTTATTAAAAGAAATATTAATCAAATATCAAAATCTTTTGCCTAATTAGATTTTTCTGAAAAGCCTACAGAAACCAAATAAATCTTCTAATAAAACTACTAAATTAATTATCCATGCCATGGAGCCTAGCGAAAACAGTTTCCACGAAAATTTGTTATTCATTCAAACTTTTACACCCGCGAACACGGGCAATAAATAAAAGCATGGTAGGCTTTCCCTGCTCGAGATGAGACACGTAGATGCGTATTAAATGGATGCTGTAGTCGAGTTT